TCCCCCCCCTCCCGCTCGGTAAAAACAAAGAAGATGATGACTGGCGTGATTTTAAGGCTTAAAGACGAGACCCTAAAATGGTCCACAGCCCGAGGTTCTGCTTTACTGTGGTGGTACAGTCACACCCGGTGAGTGCTCCTGCTAGTTCTGGCTCTGACACAGCACACAAGTTAATTAAAACACCATGTGGTCAATGGGGAGAGAGAAAGGGACGTGAGAGAGGAACGACACGATGGGAGGGAAAGAGAAATCATGCAAGAAGGTTGAAGGGACAAAAGGGAAATAACAGTGCAGAATAATGTATGTTGCCTCGGCTCTATAGGGTGTTTGTAGGAAAAAGGATGATAGATTAACTTGTTCCCAAAATTTTGTTCCTAATCCCCACAGTAAAACAAACTCATATGGCGGAACCACTTTTAAAAATCCATAATCTAAATTATATTCATTTGGGAATCGAACCAGGGACCTGCCGCTCAAAGCGCACGTAAGCTTCCACAATCTATACATTGGTTCTGAATACAGAGTAATATCAGTGAACTGGTTGTTCTCACACTTCACATTGTTAATAGACACATACGTTCACTCAAAGTCACCTTCCCCCATGGAGGAGAGGAAACACTGAGGGATGGAGTCACCTGTTTTAGCCTCAGGTACATGTTTGTCATTTGAGATTTTTTTTTTGTCTTTGACACAAAAGCCTTCAGGCTGGTTCAGAGTACATGTACGTCACGTATGTTCGTTCTGAATACAAAGAGCAAGAAAACATGCATGAATTGTATGAACCATTGTTAACATAGCATAGATAAATACATTTCCTTTCTCTAAGATCAGTTATTCACTAACTTGTTGAGCAGAAAGCTCCAAGCACAATATTTCCCATCACCCTTTGTGTTTGTCTATAAGTTAATTTGTTTCCGTCAGACAACAACTGTTTGTCCGTGCAGGTGTTTGTCACTGATCCAGTGTGTGCGTGTGCTCTTGTGTGAGCGGCTCGGGGACACATTTCCCACATGTGTGTACACACGCAGCCACGAAACTGTGTGAGGGGACGATGAGAAGAAACAAGGATGTAGAATATATTGTTTAGTGTTTTTGACTGGGCAGGGTGAGAAACAGGAGAACGTGGTGGAGCTGATGGTGCTGGAGGAATCTGTAATATTGACTCATGCCTGTGTGTGTGTGTGTGTGTGTGTGTGTGTGTGTGTGTGTGTGTGTAGCCCCAGTAAAGTTTACATCACCTGTACCGTTCAAATATATATATATCTTCTCTGCTGTCAGATTATTTCCTCAAATGCTCTTTTTCATCATCAACGAGCCTCAGTAACAAGATCATAAGGGAATGCAATCATTCCTGTGTGTCTGTGACGCGTGGTTTAGTTGTTTGTCATGACGCCATTTGTTTTGTCTCTGTTTCCCCCCATTCTGTGTGTGTGTGTGTGTGTGTGTGTCTCTCCTCGGAGTGCACCGCGAGTTTTGGCAGCCTGTATTGTTTTCTGCTGTGCAGCTGCACATCATGAAGAAGTTCCCCTCCCTGTGTGATGGTGTGAGGTGAAGACACAATTCTGCGTGTAGCTAAATGTGTGTTAACGTTCGTTAGACATCATGGCGACGTGAAAGAAATTATATTAATAGATATTAGGATAGAATATTGGAAAGGCAGGTCAAAACGACCTTCAGTTTGTGATTTAAAAAATTGTTTCTATGACACAAAACCTTGCTGACGTTAAAATAACACACACACACACACACACACACACACACACACACACACA